TGCGTCCAGCCGCCCAATTCCACCCGAGAAGCTTCATGTTCAGACTCTGGCTCGAGCTTCAAATCCAGGGCCTTTCCGCTCATTTTTTTTCTTCCCTTTATCAGTGCTCACTTATCGAATCATTTCTGTTCTTCCAGCTGAACAATTGACTATGGGGATATTCTCCAGCCCTTGTCTCTCAGCCATCTCCCTCGCATCCCCGCTTTCGAAAGGAACGCTCAAGAGATTGTGTTCCGATATTACGAACCAAATCGTTGTCGAGACTCGCTTCCAGCTCCTCCAAAAGTCTCGGCCGCGTCTTGACTCAAGGATTTTTTTTTCCTTTTTCTTTTCTCATTTTTCCCCGTGGAAACACACCAATTGGAGCCGAAAACCAACTATGGGTCAGCATATGCTTTCAGTTCCTGCGGTGAAGCAATGTGCTCCGTCGTCTTACAGTAGCTTGTCTGCACCAAGACTAACACAGGATGATCGCCACGAGTCGAAGACTTTGCCGCCTCCACTGAACGTCTATCTGCGTTACTTCGTTGCAAAGGGAAAAAAGCATCCGAAGGACACTGTGAGAGTTCCCTCCCGGCCTGTCACATTTTTTCCTCTGCGGCGTAGTCGAGGTATCTGTTCAGATTCGTACAGACGACAGAAGTGGTGGTGCTAGTGTGAAGGCGGGAAGGGCCCTCCAGCCAATGCCCAGCCATCTCGAGAAAGTTCTGGAGTCCAGCCAGCCTCTTGCATTTAGTCTTGTCTATTCTAGGCTTCTCCCCGTTGCCTCATTGAAACAGTGGTTGCTTGATCCGCCGTCGATTGGTACGGTACTTCCGTAATTCTCAGTGTCTCGGCAATGATCCCCCGTCTAGTGAAAGGTGGTGTCACACGCGGGCATGGACAAGCTAGGACCCCTTGAAAAGCTATTCCATGGAAGAAGACGCAAGCTCTCACACAGCATTATGATTAATTGACCAGTTAAACGATGACCTTCAACACCACAGAACATCAATAAACAAACGAGATGGCACTCATATAACCAGATTGCTGGTTCTTCCAATTGAAGGCCATATTTCGAGCGAACCCTGCTCTCAACACATGGACCGTTTCTCCGTCTTCCTCCCTCTTTGCCCTACCTGAATTGAGTCACCCACGCCATCTTCCGCTCTGGTACGATCTCCAATGTCAATCAGACTCTCGCGTCTCGCCTGATGAGGTGAGTTTCGAGTCGCCATCATCACCAGCTTTCATCTCTTCCATCTTGTCACATCCATCGCACCGGTAACCATCTTTTTCATTTCTCCCCTTGGCCCTTGCAGTGAACGCTGGCGATGGGATCCCGATCCCTACGTCACCATCTGGCCATGTTGCTCTTTGGTCAGGTTGCTCATCCAACAAACGAGAGAAAAGCAAAAGTCGAATCATGCCTATACATTTTCCGGTCTTGCGGATCTTGGGTTTGCTCGGTTCCTTATGCTGTGACACTCCTCACTACGTACCTTCACAATAGGTTAAGGGTTCCCGTGGGACCGAAGCATCGTGACAGGGGGCCAATACGTACTACACAGTTACACGTCAACAGCAACAGAGGCATGATGAATGACTTGCATATAGTTGTCCCTACAATGCCCATCATATTCTGCCGTGCCTAAGGTAGGTACTGCCAACTGTGCTCTGTAATGTGCAACACATTGCGCCGGCCAGAATCCCGGCCATGATGATCCTCCGTACCCCATTCTCACCTCACCTCACTTCTCCATTCATCGTATCTCTCAGGGCCCCTTTGGCCCTTTATCATCCCGATTCTCTCCGGCAACCACATCACATCACCTATCGTTGCCAACTTCACGGTCCTTACTTGTACCGTCGTCGCCCTACATGCTACCTTCCCTGCGAACCTGATGCAGACACGTCCTTCGTACCTGCTGTAACGGTCAGCCAACCCAGCCCACTTTTCAATACTCCTCTCCAGTCTCCTCCGTGCCATGCCACAGTGCCGCACTCCTACATCCCACATCTCATGATCCTCCCCCATGCCATCGGCAGACGGCAGTTTCCTTTCTACGGCCGCTCGCACCCAACTATTCCCGTCCTCACGCAATTCTCACCCGTTGCACCGCCGCCGTCCGTTTCTCCGGTATCCATCCCTCCCCGTTCATGAAGCCGTGCACGTACGCTTCGCCAACCAGTCGGTAATCGCTCGACGTCGACATCGCCCCTGGCCTGAGCACAAACGGCGTCCGTCCGCCGTCAAGTAGCCAGATTTCGTCGCCGTCTTGAAGTTCCTGATGGCCCAGGCCCCAGTACCCTTCCCGGCTCACAAATGCCACCCGGCCCGGTAACGCTCTAGAAGCCTTTCTAACCAGATCTGCCACTACCTTCCTGAGCGCTACCAGGTCCGTTGCCCAGTCTTCCGGTAGCTCAACTGCCTCCCGAGAAGCAGGGATCCAAGCTTCCCCAGCCGTTGACGATGCTATTTCGCCCAAGATAGAGAGTAGTCTATCGTTAGCTGTCTCGGTCAGACTTTTCATTCTTCGGCCTAGCAGAAAGGCCCACAGTCCCCGGAATGCCTCTGCGTAGGTCAGCGGGCCGCCGTCTAAGACGAAAGAATCCGTCACCAAGGTGAAGCTGAGGGCCTCAAGTGCTGCCTGCCCAGTGGGACCATACGTGCCCATTGCCGCACACTTGTGCAGGAGCCACTCGACCGGAGCCGTATCAGACTCGACAATATTGGCGGGGAAATCCGGGCTCTTTCGGTGGATGATATCAAGTCTCAGGCCAGAAACGACAAGACAGTTGCTTACGAACTCGACCACTCCCTCTTTGTTGTTTCCCCTGGTCCAGGTCAGCGTGGCATCGAAATCCACGTCGACATTGTCTCGAAGACGAGCATGCAGCGGAACTGGGGCCGTCGGCTTAGAATAGTCAGGTACCCAGGAAGGTAGGTCGACCCTCGAGGCCTGCCACGTTGTTTTGCCTACGTCGTTGAGGACATCCAAAACCGGCATGCCTCGCAATAGGCTTTTGGTAAAGTCGATGTAGACCTGCCGTGCAGATATGATGTAGCTGGGCGACGCATACCTCTTCCCATCGGGAAGCGCGAGACGTCCGAGTGCCAGCCATCCGTATACCGAGTCCCTATCCTCCCAAACCCTTCTGCCTCGCATAATACGCATCATTTTGAGCATAAGACAGAAGAACTCTTCTTGGCTGGTCTGGAGAGGTCCGAACCACTTCGCGACTTCTCCCCTTCGCGTTTCTCCAGTACCATTCACCCACAACTTCCGGATCAAGGCGTACTTTTCCATCTCTTCGATCACCCCAGTATATCTTGCGCCTATTTTCTTCAGTGTCTTCGTCCTAGCGTGAAACTTATTGAAGAAGCGACGTGCTGCTGGGCCAGAAGTGGCAACGAACCGCTCCAAGACCATCCAATCCCACGAGAGGCTCCCACATGCAAGCTCGACGTTTCGGCTGAGCAATATCTCTTGCATCCATCCATGACGGTAGAGGATCTCATGTCTTGTAGCGAAAGCGACAAAATGTAGTGCCTCTTCCTCCCAAAGCTTCAGTCCCGGCTCTGCCGCCGAGACCCAAGACTTCTGGCCCTTGTCCGGGATGTTCCACATGATTTCATGGATTGCACTGTCCTCGTCTTCGAGGTAGTTTGGGAGAAACTCCTTGATAACCTTGTCCACGCCCTCCGGTGGTTCGTCGGGCCCGAGCCACACAATGGTCTTTTCGGCAGCTTTGTAGATGCACCCGAGCTGCTCAACCTGACGAGCACGTTCCGAGGCATCTTTGAAGTTGACGCATATGGAATCAACCCACAGGTACGTCTCCTGTTCCTTGGAGTCAACCTTCCTGTCTGGATCGAAAGGTGTACTGTTTAACGGGCGGTATCTTTGTTTGCGATACGCCAACTCAAGAAAGTCCGCGACGCTTGACGTAACTTGTATGTTATCCTTCAAAGTCACCAACCTCTTATCCGAGGCGACAGCCGAAAGCGCAGATGCAAGGCGACCAGTCAACGAACTCGTCCAAGATTCTGCAACGGGCTCAACAACGTTGCTGCTTCGAGATTCTGGGGCAGGGAAGTGTGTACACCCCGTCTTTTCCCACTCAGCAACGGCTGGCTGGTAGATGTGAGGGCCGCGAGTATATGACAAGACATGAAAGCGCGGCGCTTCTTGAAGAGGGAATTGACGAAAGACGATGCGGAAGCCCTGCTCTAACTCATTGGACGGTGCGAGCTGGATTAGTCGAATGGTACCGCTGGCTGGGAGAGGCGTGAGAGATGGACGATCGGGCACAGCGATGTTCGCTCGGAAGGAATCCCATGCGGAGGCGAACATGTCGCCAGTCTGGTTAATGGATGTGATGAGGATCTCAGTGAAGCGGGCGAAAGTGTCTTCATGTCTTATAGGTGAGTGTAGTCCGTAGGAGGTGGCTGTACAAGTACGTATGCAAGTCCGCCCACCAACACGACCAGGTAGATAGACAATGGATCAACAAGCTAGGCAATTTCAGGCTTGCGTGATACTCTTGCTGAAACGATGCAATTTCCAGCCCCAAACATCGTGGGGTGAGGAGAGTACCTACCTACATAAGCGAATCTCGAGGTCGGGCACTGATGCTAAGTCACTACGCAGTATCTTCGACGAATACTAAGAGTTTTATTGTTCTGCTAATGGTATCTAAGATAATACTAAAGCCTCGATCAAGTCTAATGCTGATAATGGTTTCTCATCGCTCGATTGATGTTGTATGAAGGTCCAAAGGATACCTGTCAGAGATCTGCCGCACAGTGCATCGCACCTGTCTCCAACAAAGCTCAGGCAGCCTTAACTGAGCCAAAACCCGCCACGCACAGACCTCCGGAGACCAAACATCATCACGCACAGCTTTCGACATCGCGAGAACGCAGCAAAAAAGAAAGAAATCAACGAAGAACAACTGAACCATCATCATGATAGCACAAAAAGGCAAAAATACACGCTTGATGGCATTGGGGCAAGTGCTCCCGGCAGGGCTTGAACCTGCGACCTGGTAAGAAAGCGAGAGTTCGGGGGAGCATGTGAGAGTTTACTCGCATCACTGATTCTTGCCCGATAGGGGAAGTATTAGTACGAAGCTCTAACCAACTGAGCTACGGAAGCCATCTAACTTGATGGGCAACCAGCGTCGGTATCCGTGTTTATATCGGCTCAGCACCGTGGCTGGTGTCCAAAAACAGCACAGAAGCCTCATCAATACAAAAGCCATCTTCCAAGCATCACAGGCTTGTTCTAGAAATTCTATTTAGGTATGGGATCCATGGCAAGTAAGGCTGTGCATAGGTAGTGGCACTGTTGGCGGATGCTCACATCGAGCTTCACTTCTATCAGAATGGCAAATGAAGAGCAAACGCATCAATGGAAATTATTTCCCCCGCGTCTATTTATACGCCGTACTTTTATATCGTTCCAAAGCTTACAAAAAGACCATAGACTAACTCCTAATCTCCCACAACTTGATCTTGCCCACATCATTGCCAACCGCCAGCAAATCGCTCTCTCGTCCAAACGCAATCGCCGTGATCCTGCCGAACGGCGTCTGCTCCGTTGGCCAGTTGCGGTATACCGTGCAGCTCGGCAGATGCACCAGTCGCAGCGCATCCTTCTTGGCCTGGCTGGCAAAGGCCATGAGCTGACCGTCGGGTGAGAAGACGATCTGCGTGATGGGCGTGACGAGCTGCTCAAAGACTCGCCTCGGCGTGGGGCGCTCCTTGAGGGTTGTCTCTCCGTTGTTGATCTCGAGAAGCTCGTTGCGGTCGTAGATGTTAGTGATGCCGCTGTTGGATCCGACAGCGACCCAGCGGTCGTCGCCCAGGCTGCTGGGGCCTTGGTGGCCGCCGAGAGCCAGGACGATGCCACCGACACAACCCTCGTCATTCCACACCCCGATAAACGATCGGCTTTCCATGCTATATTCGCCGACCTGTCCGTCCTTGCCCAAGATGGTCAATCCGTCTCCCGTGCTCCACCATGCAAAGTCTGCGATGCCGTTCCGGCTCTGGAGTCGAGCCGCTGCGATCCACTGCATCGAAGTCGTGCTCAAAATGTTGATGATGCCGCCGCCCTTCTTGGTAGAAGCCACAATGGCCATGTATCTTCCACAGGGGCTCAGCTTGAACCGCTCCATGGTCTTGTGTTCGATCTGATGGCCCAAAATCTGACTCGTCTTCTGCACCGTTCCTGACTGCAGGTCCCAGTGGTGGAAGTACCTCCTACGCCCGGCAAAGAAGATCTTGTCTCCGTGAGGATATAGAAATTCGGCTCTTCGCACATCTACCTGGTTGACCCGAACAGAAGTCAACTGAGGGTTGGGCGTGGGATGCGCAGCAGGCGCGATGTGGTGGAGGTAGAGGATCGAAGCAGTGCTTGAGGAGAGCAGGACAGGGTATTCTGGGTGGAAGGATAGATGGGCCACTGGGGCGTTATGCTTGTCTGGGATCTCTCTCGTTCGCTGGATATCGATAACTTCGGGTCGCAGTCGTCGCTTCGCCGTTCCACCGCCAGCCAATCGATTGACGTCGCGCAGGAACTTCTCGAGGGGTTGTGCCGAGATCTCAGAGTCCGAGTCGCTACCAGCATCGTCCGAAGAGTCAGATGCTGCAGAGGAGCGCCGTCTCCTCTTGCTTGGACGACCTTCGGCTTCTTTCGCCCACGCAGGCAGGGGATTCAGCTGGAGATACTGCTTTCGTAGCCGCCTGCTGTACTCTGCTCCGCTGACCACGTCTTCGTCCTCTGCTATCCGTAGCTTTCGTAATCTGTTCGCGCCGGCGAGTGATATTCCCAGTCTTTCGTCGTCGCTATCCTCCCATACGGGGGCGTTCGGGTCGGATGTTTTGGCCGACTTGTCAACTTGCGCAGCGGCACCAGCAGCGCTGGGACCGGCGTCGAACATGAACAGTTCGGCATCGTCAATGTCTTCGAGTCCACCAGCGTCCGTGTCTACCAGCTCGAGTTCCTTGCCCTCAGCCTCTCGGCTCGTGTCAAAAAGGCCACCAGCCTCAAACAATTGCGCCCGGAAGCCCGCCTTGTTGCCCAAGACCAAGCGCTCGAGTTCTTCTTCGTCCGAATCCTTCTCGAAGAGGGTCGTGGTCGACTTCTTCTTCCGGTCGTAAACCTCCGATTCGGCATCTGAGACGTCGATTTCCGAGGACGACGTGTCAGACATATCTTCGTCTTGAGGCGGTGCCATTTTATGTTCCGTGTCGCTCTGGGCGTAAATCTAAAAAGTCTGGGTGAAATTTACAAGTCCAGATTTTTTTTAAAGAGGCAGCGCAGCCTTGCACTAGTGAACGGTTTCGATAGGCTCTCGCTGTGGGTGGGGTGGTGGGGTCATGGCCAATCACAAGCAGCGGGTGTTGAGAAGGCTCTCTAACCCTAACCCTTGAATTCATCGTCAATGGAACAAGTTCAGACGATTCCAATTGGGTATTTCCTTCACTACCTAGTTATTTTCTCACAATATACTCCCTACCCAGGCACCTAATAATCAAACAGATCTTTACAGAGATGCAGCAGCACTGAGCTCCTTCTCGAGCCTGTTCAGGTCGGCACTCACAGCGTCACGAGACTTTAGAGTCAGCACCGCACCCTTCTGCGCAATGTCAATCAAGTTCTCAACCTTGCCACCCTGCGCCAATCCCGAAATGAGAACGCCAAAGAAGGTGTCTCCAACCCCATTGACTGAGACAATCTTTTCAACCCTTTCCGCAGGAGGGAAGAGCCTCATGTACACACCACCGACGCTCTGGTGGTCGTTCGTCGCACGCGTGAGAATAAACTGCTCGGCATCACGATCCTTGAGGCGAGGGTCGTCGCGGCCGAGGATGGTGGTCAAGAGAACACCCTTGGATCCAAGTTTTGCGACGATTGTTGGGATATATGGCAGTAACTGCATGGACTGCACGGGTACGCCCGAGTCTGTCAGCTCTGCAGAAGTCAGCTTGACAAACCGATCGCGGGCACCACCTCTGATGTTGAAGGCATCGATAATGTCGAACCACTCGGGACTCTCAAAGTAGCCGTTCTCCCTGGCTGCGGAATACATGGCATCCAATTCGTAACTGTTTGGTGAGGCAATGTCAACGGTAGGTTCTGGGAAGACTCGCAGCGGCGGATGACCCTTCTGTGGGCAGAATAGATTCATCGACTTGGCTGTCGACACGGGCTCAAACGCGACCTTGCACGATTGGTCTTGGCCAGCCTTGATCCAAGCTCGAATGTCCTTCTCGCTCCAGTTGCCATCAACCACGAGCCACTTGGGCTTAGTTCCTGCGACTGCAGACTTCCAGTAGTCCGGGAACGAATGATTGGAGAAGATGCCCATGTCTGCCATGGCCATGACAAGGTTCTTGTCAGCATCATTGATGGCAACGTATTGGGCAGTACGGTTTGAGGTATGATACTCGGAGCCCAGTTGTCGGATAAAGGCCGTGTCCAAGCCCACGGCCTTGAGGCCATTCAGGACTGTCGAGCCAGCTCTGTGATGATCAGTCAAATCGAACAGGCCCCTCTGTCTCCAACAAGTGTACTTACATATCATCACCAACCATGCTACACAAGCGCACTCGAGCCTGTTGGCTGACCGTATGAGCAGCAAGGGCGACATTGTGGCCAACTCCTCCGATCGATTGGCTGATGCATGCTGGGTTCGAAGTATGAAGCACGGGCGAGATATCCCCAGACTTGGGGGCAGAATAGTCACAGCTCAGATCGATGGCTACGGACCCAGCAACAAGAATGTCTGCCTTGCTAACGCTGTTGGACGTGGCTTCGGGCGCTGTTGGCTGGCTGGGCGATTGCTTATTGGAAGAAACGGTGTATGCATTGCTATGTACAATTAGATTACCCCCCATCCTTTCAACGTCGCACTTACGAAATCGTTACGGGCTCGGACTCGGATGACAACAATCGTGATAACTCGACGGCGATGTTGCTGGCGCGGGTGAGGTTGGATGTCACAAGGGCTTTGTTTGCGACGACCGCCTTGGCCCCAGTGAGCTCCTTCAACCGTCCCAGAATGAAGGGAGTATTGGCACTGCCTGAGAAGCCCTTCTCGTTGGCCTCGCTAACAGCTTGCTCGATGGCGGCCTGCATTTCCGGGGCTGGGATCCCAAACTCCTCGGGAATGGGGTTCGCGAACAACATGCCAGACTCGATGCCCAGAGTCTCCTGCGCAAGGATGATGGCAGCGGCTTCCTTCTCGGTCTGGACAACCGAGGGACTCTTGACGCCGCTTTCTCGTGCCCAAAAGGCAGGGAAGTCAACTTTGCCAGTCCTGCCATCGGCGAATGTCGATACATAGGCTCCCTGGGTCTCAAGAAACTCAAGAGTGCGTGGAATGTCGAGGAAGCCCTTACATCCACTGCTAATGACGGCAACGCGAGTGCGTCCAAGCTCTGTGAGGTCTGCTGAAATGTCCAAAGAGTCTTCTCCCCCCCGATGGACACCTCCAAGACCGCCAGTGCCAAAGACTCGAATGCCAGCTAGCCTTGCCAGCAGCATGGTACCTGAGATGGTCGTGCCGCCATGGATCTTACGTCCGGTCAAACCCTGGACAAGGTCCTACGTCAGCCCCAACATTGCAACACGATTGACTATTATTCGAGTAAACGAGGTAGATAGTCGGTCATCTCGACAATACGTCCTCATAGGCGTGGATTGTACACGGGGAACAAGGCCAACTTACCATTCCTACGAGATAGGCGATGTCCCGACGAGATGCCTTGACAGCACTTCCACTCTCAATCATGCGAACAATGTCATCTATCGACACGCCGACTTTGGGCACACCGTCAACGATAGCGATGATGGCTGGAACAGCTCCGTGGTTTCGGACCAGGTCTGAGTGCTCACGGGCCAGATCGTTGCCCAAGGCACCGTGCGTGTAGATGGTCGACTCCAACGCCACGACGGGCTTGTTGTGGGCCACGGCGTGAGCTACCTCGTCCGAGACCTTGAGAAGGTCCCGAAGACCGGCTAAGGATGCCGAGGCGGATGCAGTGAAGAGCCGCCGTTGAGATGGTGCCGTGAGGCGGGGGCCGCAAAAGAGCCTAGGCCCATGCCGGGCCACGAGAGTCGATAGCCGCGGAGACGGCAGCATGGCT